CACCACATCAGCCAACAAATCAGAGGCTCATTTAACTGCATATCTACTAATGTGATCTGTGCCAGCAATGCCCCTCTGCCATGTATATTAGTCAAACTGGACAGTCTCTACCAGAAAGGATTAATGGACATGAATCAGATATCCGAAAAGTCAACATACAGAAACCTGTTGCAGAATACTTTAACCTGCCCTAGCACTCACTAATGGATCTCAAGGTCACCATGTTGTATGATGTTGTCACATGTTGTCACCATGTTTCATTTGAAGAAGTGGGTTGTACTCACCAAAGCTCATGATACCATCCACATGTTTTGTTAGTCTTTAAGGTGCTGCCAGACAAGTCATTTTTTAAGTTTCTCTAGTTACAGACTAAATTGGCTACCCCTTTGAAGCCAAAAAGACTAGTTAAATGTGAAGGTTACTTTGGAGATGAAGGACATTTTCTAAAAAAAAAAAAAAACCAAACCCTGTGTGTATGTGTTGAAATAGTTAAGTAGAGAAAGAAGACTGAATTCGCATAGAAAATGCTGCTAGAAACCAACGACAGCAATGCTAAGCAAATTACCGCCATACTGTAAAAATGCTAATCTGTTTGGAAGTACTAAATCAGGGCCTGAAGGATAATGAAACCAACAGGGATGAACATCCATTTCAGTCAGCCTTGAAGAGAGCTGTTATCCCTTTAAAATGTTAACTGGTCAATCACATTACTGTGCAACCATTTCAGCTACTTTTACTAAGAAAAATGTATAACAAATAAAGCAAAGGGCAGTAAACATTTGTCATGCTTCACTGGGAACAAGCAAGCCTGTTACAGAAATGGGATTACTAAGAAACAGCGAAGTACTAGATCTAAGATGCTGCTGCTAGTTTTAGTACGAGAAAAATGGCTTTGTTTGTAGCACTTGCTACATTAAGGGGACAAGCAACATTCAGGTGGATTGTATCATGTGATACCTGTTTTCTGATATAGTGGAATAGATGAAAGAAGTAGTGTGGGATGAATTATTCAGATACTCAATAGAATATTTTAAAGAATAATAATAAATATAAAATATAAAATAAAAAGAAGATCTATTACAACGATTCCTCACTGACTGTATAAAAAGCTTAGTTTCCCCTCTATCTAGGAATTATAATTGTGCTCAGACCTGTGATCTATATAATCCAATATTCTTTGACAGTAGACATACTTTAAACACTTAAAAGTTGGGAGCAAGAATTTCTATAATGGATAATTAAGCAATAGCCTGTCTGTAGGGGGATATTCTTCCTGGTCCATGTAGAGTGAATCTGGAAGCACACAGGTTTATATCCCATATAACAATGTTTCAATTTTATCTAATGTAACTGTGAATATACATCCATAAAAATACCCAATCCTTTTCTAAACCCTTAGATATGAAGCTTTTGGCCCCAGTTATATGGTATGACAGTGAGGTCAATTATGTGTTTTTAAAAAGTATTTCTTTTTACTTGTTTTAAATGTGTTTACTTTCAATTTCATTCATTGTTTCCTTGTTTTTCTACAATGAGGATAACTATAAAATCACAGGGTTAGAAATGACTACAAGAGACGTATAGACTATCTCCTTCATCTAATCATCTAATGGTTTAATCTTCTCTGTATCATTAATTATTTTATATACTTCTGACATATCACACATACTAATCTTTCCACACAATGCTTTCTTTTTAATCTCTCTTCATACCATACATTATGTCTCTTTTTTATTTCTAAAAGATCATATTTTACCATCAGATAAACGTCTCTCTCTTAATTACCTTAATGAGAAATGTGCTTTTGCAATTGAGGACAGAATTCTATTTTGCAAGTTAAATTCTGCTCTCAGTAACATGCTTGCAACTTCAGTTACTTTCAAGATATGTCTGTGATGCTACGCCTACATATTTTTATGGCGATGTGTTTTGAATATGAATATGCATAATTCAAATATGCTTTATGCAAAATTCATCATGTAATCTCTAGGGCTGCACCCAACCGCCACTCATCAGCTGTTTCCCCTTCTGTCAAAAGGAAACCTTCAGCTCATCTCCAGCAAGCTGTGGAGCAGAACCCCGCTTCACCTCTGGTCCACTCCCTGGACAAAGCTGGGAGAGAAGAGGAGAAGCGGCAGGTTTTGAAGGATTCACTAGAGCAGCTGGCTGGTGGGCACGCATGCAAGGGATAGCCAGATCCAGCAGATGAAGCAAGAATAAAGGGCTCTGGCAAGAGGAATTACCGCTCCGTTGGGGAGGGCGAATCAGTCCTGTGAGGCCCAGGAAGCTGCCTTGACTCCAGCTAGGGAGGGAACCATGGGCTATGCATGTCTGTGCTGCCCAGTGATTCATGATGCTCTGTGACCGCCCCCCTCCCTCAGCTCCCAGACCCCCACACTTTGACTGCTGAGCCGAAGCAGCCACTGGGACTGCATAGCAGCAGCATGGGAGAAGCTGAGGTGACTGGTTTCCTTCCAGTAAGGCTCTGCCTCCCCAGTTAAAGCCACTGCACACTTACTTGGTGTGTAGCATCTCAATTGTCTTTAGGGTGAAGAGGGCTAACTGCAGCCCCCCTCGATGCCCCAGAAGCACTGCTTTCCTCCCCCCCCCACACCACCTGCAAGGATCTGCCTTCTCCTCAGTACCAACCAGAACTAGCAGGGCTCCCTTTGCACCAAGTGAACTGAAACTGGGCTAGGGAGAGGGAAGGCGAGTCTCCTATGATCCAATCCCCATGAACTCCCCATGCATTCACACCACTCCCTGCTTGCTCCTCTGTCAGTGTCCCCACTTCTAGCCCTGTTCCTGCCCCATCCCAGCCCTGGGCTTGTCCCCTAGCCCTTGAGATAGCTCTCCTGTGAAGTGGCCACCCTCCTCCTCTGTGGGCATGGTGCAGATGGTTGAGCGCTATAGGGCACTAGGAATTGTAAAGAGCAGTCCTCAGGGTAGGAGGTATCTTTCCCCTGTCCCACCAACCACCAAACTGTTCTGGGAATGGGAGAGGGTGTCTCTTTCTCACCCCACCACTTTGTCCTGGCAGATAGTGAGATGGGGCTGAGAAGGAGGGGGATGTCTCCCTCTCCCCACCAGAGCAGCCCCCGAGCAGAGGCTGGGAAGGAGGGCAGTCTTTCTCCAGCAGTTAAAGCCCTGAAACAAAGGAAAGTTGCCTCTTTCTCTGGGATGTTAACATTTGTTTATTTTTGTAAACGTGTTACCACTTGAAAGCCAGCTTCCCATGTGTATCAGCTTCCACCTCCTTGCCCCCACCCCAGCACTTGGCTCTGCGGGAGCCGGTGTTTTCTGGGACCCAGCTTTTAAGCTGGCTTCCCTGTGAGCATTGGCTCCTGCGTCTCCCCCTGCGCTGCTGCCTCTGATACAGAGGCAGCAGTGGGGGGTGGGGGGGAGAACTGCATATAACCATGAGGGTTAACCAATGAGCTCAGGCTGAGCACTATGTATACATACTGATATAATAGCAGTAAACAAGTTGGGTAATTGAAATAAGTAGACTATTGCATGACTCATATTGCTTGGAAGAATGTTTTGTATTTCAGTACTCACAAGGTCTTGCATATTCCTTGGTTGTATTAAGGGAATCACTGATCCCAAGATCATTGTAAACATCTAGTTTGGTCTCCTATACAACAGGCCATAGAACTTTTCAATAATCAATCCTAGAGCAAATCTTTTAGAAAACATCCAATACTGATTTTAAAATCAGTGATGTAGAATCTGCCTTTACTCTTGGAAAACTGTTTCAAAATTTTACACCTTATTTCCTGCCTGAATTTGTCTAGCTGCAACTTCCAGTAATAGGATAATTTAATACCTTCTCTATTATACTGAAGAGTGGATTTATTACCTATTTGTTTCCTCATGCAAGAAACTATCTACTAGGGGACAACAGTCATAGGTCAGCAGTACTTACATGAAAGACTTTGCACGTTAGTTATAATAGCAATAAATGTACTATGATATGCATATAAAGTATAAACATATAGATACTGTTTCTTTTCTGTTCAAAGCATATACATTGTTATTTTAACCTAACATGACTAAACTCACTACCTGCATTTCTTAAATTCCTTGAGATGCCTATTAGTTATTATATAAATAATCATAATACACACACACAAATCCCCTGGCTCATACCATGAACTTGTCATTAAGAAGAAAATTCTTAATGTTTAATGCCTATTACTTTACCAAACCTACATTAATTCAAGAAATGATAGTACATTTGGATGTTGGTAGATCCTACTCCCAAGAATCCAGGATTTATGTACTGATTTGTGTGAATATAATCAAATGAAAACATTGTTGATTTTTCAACTATGACTTTGTGAAAGATGCTGGTCAGACAGCCCAAAGAGACTGAAGAATATGAATGCACAACAGCAATGCAAACTTTTCCAATAATATCCTTTCAATTTTCCCCAACTCTAATACCATCTTGAAGAGTAGGAAGGTTAATTCAGACTTCAAACCCCTAAGTACTTAGCCTCTCTCTTAAAACTTCCAGTAAGGATGTTCGGTAAATTAAACTGGTTTCTTTGTAAAATGGCTACCTGGCACCACACAATTTTTTGTCAGATAACAAATTGATAATATAACATACTTTTTGTCACTAGTGGCTTAAGTTGGCTTTGAATTTAGAAGATATGTTAGAAGTTAAAAGGCTTATAATTTAAAAAAATATTCAGGATCTCCTTATGCTCTCTGAAATCTAATGAGGTAATTTGTTGACTTCACTGACCTTTCATGAAAGCCAAAATGATTTACAAGAAAAAGAAATTTCTTTCACATTGCAAAGGTCATGGTAGCCCAGGAATATTTTGTTCAAAGCAGGATAAGATTACATATAAATCTTACAAATATAAACAACCACTTAGTCATTAAAAGTTGCCTTTAAGAGCATTTAACCATGCCAACCTGCATTAAAACTCTGATTTAAAAGTACTGTCCAGTGATGCCACAAGGTTTAATGGCTGAACACTTACCAACTGTGGCAGAGGCTGTTGACAGCAGAGATTTGCCCCATGATCCCCATGCTCCCCATCCACTTCCTTTAGGAGAGGAGTCCAAATCCTACAGTAGGAAATATTCAGTTTCACCGTCAGAAATTTAAATTGCCCAAATACAGGAGAAAAAATATCCACTACTAGAAACCAGACTCCAGCATGTATTAAACAATGTAATTACATTTGTAATTCAACAGTACAGGTTGAATCTCCATGGTCTGGCACCCTCGGGACTGACCAGTCCCAAATGACAGAATTTGCTGGACCTGGGGCTGTCAGCATCTCCACTCCCCCTGCTTGCGCTCTACAGCAGCCTCCCAGGATGCTGGGGCTCAGCTGCATCTTTGCCCCCCCCTCCCCCCCGGTCTGCAAGGGCTCTGCAGCTCAACTGCTCTGACCTGCTGGGATTCCACAGCTCAGCTGTCCCAGCCTGCAGGGGCTCTGCCCACCTGGGCTCAGCTTTTCCCTGGTCCAGTAATGTTCCTGGCCCCAGCCCAACTGGTTTTCATTCATGAGTGCTCCAGCCCCAAGTACCCATGGGATCACTGACAATGCTGGATCAGGGAAATCCAGATTACAGGGGTTCAACCTGTAATGCCATCAGGGATCTGTGGGAATAGAAACCCAAAGAAGATACTGTCTTATATTCAATGGTGGCGTTGCAGTGCTGCATTATTTTACTTTAAATTGAGGTTTCTGGTTAAAGTTTAAGCTTCTGTGGTAGGTGCAGAGAAGAGAGTAACTCTGGTGCAAAGGCCTACATTCCCTCTCTCAAGAAAATAAAGTGTAGCTAAAATTATTGTATTGCATTAGACTATTTTCAGTATTCCATATTTTAATAAGGCTAAAAAAATCAATTGTCTTATTAGAACTTCTATATCACTTCTTTGTAACCTAGCTTCAATATGTATTGAATCTCTGGACAGGAAAACAGGTTCCTTAGTAAAGGCACACGTCTTATGTGCATGACCCTCTTCACCCATATTCAAAGGGGAAGAATAAATTATTTCTTTCCTCCAGTCCTTGGCCTACAATTCCTTGTCTGTAATTTGATTAGAGATCCTTTCTGCTCACCATATTAAATGGAGAAGTTGCTGTGTCCTTATTGGACACGGATTCTATGCTGCTGACATGAAATAAAAAAAAAGAAATAACTTTTGCTTTTACAGGTGAAGCAAACACAGTATCCACAAGCAATAGTAATTGTGCCACTAACATAAGCAGTTCTGTGCACTCAGCTGAAGTAGAAAACAAAGATTCATGAACCTTCAGGAGCTAGGGTCGTTTTAATTTCAGTTTTTCATTATGGCTAGTTAATTATAATTTTAAAAGTAGTAGGTACTAATATAAACAAAACAATAGTAATAACTGAAACATCTCAAGATTTTGAGATGAGCTCTATGGAACATCAATAGAAATGTTGTCTGATAATTGTTAGACAGATGGTGAATTGTGGTTATGACTACCAATTAGCTAAGAAGAGCAAATACAGCTACTTTAGGTTAAAACATCTTCTTGTTTTTGAACTCATGTGTTTGTCCATCTGGCATATCTTATCTTTAAAGGCCCCCTATTCAGCAAAGCATTTGAATGTGCTTAAGTCTCACTGAACTCAATGGGACTTAAGCATGTGTCTAAATAGGGCTAGACTGGCCTTACCAGACTATCATCTCTTTGAGGCAAGGATACTGTTCTACAATGTGGGCCTAATCTGATTGAGGCTTCAGGTGCTAACAGAATGTAAATATGAAAACAAATACATCCTTAGGCTGAAAGGACATTGTATAGTTTGCAGTCAGATACCCAGAAGTCAGGAAGCACAAATTAATGGTTGCATATGTGACCCACTTCTGCCCACTTTTTGTCCATCCCATGCACTGAATGAACCGGGGTGTGAAGAAAATGAAGGATTATCATAGTGCATACACACCAGGGGAGCAAATTCATGTTACATGGGCAAATTTGACTTTTCCTAACTGTTGAGTGCTTCACTGCAATCTAAACAGTGTTATTTTACCACAGATTTTTTGGCATGATTTCCTAGATTTTTGTAGAAAATTGCCCATGATTATTTCATAGCAAAATGCTAATGCAGCAAATATATTAATTTTTACAAAATATATTATTTTTACAGAATCCTGTTCTTTGCACAAAGTGGGGAAATATGCTTATGATTCTCTCATACAGAAAGCTAATTACCATAAAGGAAAGCTGTTCTGGAAGAAAAAGACAAGATTACTTACTGGACTGCTTTGTTCATTTGGTGTCACTTCTGATCCAGGTTCAGGATCAAGGCTCACAGACTCGCTGCAGTCAGTAGGCACGTTTTCAGTCACCTTTCTGCTGGAAGGCTGACTTGCAATTACTTCCATAGTCAAAGGATTTTCATTGATAGCCATGTCCCCTTCCTGTCCATTACTAGTATTATAAGAAACTTGTCTCTGTTCATCTTGGGAAGACCCATGCAAGATCCCAGGTATTTCACTATGTTCTGCTGTATCATTAGCCAATTCATCACTACTAGGCATTGCCATTGTTTCAGGTTTTCCTTCAATGGGTACTGCGTCACTCATGTCATCAGACATTTTTTATTTCAACTTAAAAAAACCAAAGAGATGAGTATATTTATATGAACTAATCAAATCAATGTCAAATCTCACAAACACTTAAACGACACAAAGGCAGTGAAATATATATCCTGCCTTGCAATCACATTCAATCACATTGCAGATACACAGCATGCTAATAATGACACAGAAGACTACAGAAGTCTGTGTTGTAAATTAGCAGTGTTTCATTTACAGAAATCATCAAGGTTAGTTTGTGCAGGTTAGTTATAATCCTTGATCTTGGAGGACAGTATATACAGTCCATGTAATAAACACTCATTACCTTATCTAAAGAAATCTTGCTGATTTAAAACCCAACATAGACTTGTCCAAGACTTTTTATTTTCTTCATATTATAGACTAATAGACTTTAAGGCCAGATGGACCATTATGATCATCTACTTCAAGGGTCTCAAACTCCTGGCCTGTAGGCTATCCCTGTGCGGAGCGATTGCACAATCAAACCTAGAATTCCCAGTGGGCCGAGTGGGTCCTGTCTATTACTGGTCCCCACACCCCACTCCTTCCCATCATTGTCCCACCCTCTTTCCACCATCCCCCAAGGACGTGGCTTCAGAGATCACCGTGGGGCCTGGCACCACGTGGTGGCAGGGGTTGCACCTCCCTGCACTCTCTGCAGTGGCAGGAGCCATTGGGGAAGCAGAACACACTGGGCAAGTGCACTCACTCTGCTTCCCCGTGGCTCCTGCTGCCATGGGAGGCCCAACTGCTGCTGCCATGCCATGCCCCGCGATAATCCCCAAAGTGGCATCCTTGGGGGACAGAGCACCATGGGATGGAGAGGCAGGGTGATGGCAGGAAGGGATGTGGCTTGGGGACCAGTAAAGCACGAGTTCCCCCCCAGTCCACCAAGAGTCTCTGGCTGGATTATGCAATCATTCTGGCCAGGGATGACCCATGGGCCGGGTGTTTGAGACCCTTGATTTAGTCTGACCTCTTGCACATTGCCAGCCACAGAACCTCACTCACCCTCTCCTACAGAAGGCCAACAGCCGTGGCCTGAGTTACTGAAATTCTCTCTGCTTGTTTAGCACTGGTTTCCCCGAGGTCCCTCCCATTATCTCACCAATGAGAGTGCAAGAAGAGCAGCTCTGTAACCCTTGCCATCTGGAATAATGTTTCCATTATCTGCCCTACATGCTATTCATTCTCTAATCTCATGCAAAAACAGAACATTTCTCTTCTACAGTCATTTTTAAACCATAACTTTATTATTGAACTCTGCAGAGAATTTTCAAGTATTGTTTGTATGAAGGCTGCTATAAAACAGCTCCCCTGGGCTGGCCGGGGACTATGCTGCCTGGCTGCCGGCTCCCTGGGTCTGGTTGGCGAAAGGGAAGCCATGCTGCCTATCAGGCAGCTCAGCAGCACAGGAATCTTACCCGTGTGAGTGGCCAGCAACATCTAGAGCCCTGTCCCCAGCTGGCCACTCTCCTGCTGGCGCACCTGCGCCTCCAGTGGTCATTCTGCAGTACAACTATGGCTGCTAGCAGCCCCTTCCCATTGGCTGTGTCTAGACTGGCAAGCTTTTCCGCAAAATCATCTACTTTTGCGGAAAAACTTGCCAGCTGTCTACACTGGCCACTTGAATTTCCAGAAAAGCACTGACGATCTCATGTAAGATCGTCAGTGCTTTTCCAGAAATACTATGCTGCTCCCGTTCTGGCAAAAGTCTTTTCCGAAAGACTTTTGCGCAAAAGGGCCAGTGTAGACAGCACAGTACTGTTTTCCGCAAAAAAGTCCTGATCGCGAAAATGGCAATCGGGGCTTTTTTGCGGAAAACAGCGTCTGGATTGGCCACGGACGCTTTTCCGCAAAAAAGTGCTTTTGCGGAAAAGCATCCTGCCAATCTGGACGTGATTGTCCGAAAATGCTTTTAACGGAAAAGTTTTCCGTTAAAAGCATTTTCGGAAAATCATGCCAGTGTAGACGTAGCCTTTGTGTTTTATGAACATAGGTCTTGGAAGACAGACAAAGGAGAACTGCTTTTCAGATATATTGGGCTTAATTCTTCTCCCACGCCTGTTTTACCCAAATGTAGGAGCATTAACTCCCATGGAGTTACTTCAGATTTACAACAGATTTACAACCAAATATGAACATATACCTATCAATTGTAGAATTTTAGTAGGTACATTCTTTATTTTAGACCCAAATTTACTTCTGTCCCACACAGATCTGGTGCTCTCTCATGTTCTAATTAAAGCAATAGAAATTTTTTACACACAATAAATAAGTGAGCCTCACATTCAAACTTTTTCTGGTATTTGAAGTTGGCTATACTACTTAGGAATGTAATTTATTTTAACTGTTGGTAACTCACACTTTGGGTTTCGACTACTTGAGTTCTATATAGATATATTTATAATGATTAAGGCTATACAAATAATCTGTTTGATATGATTAAGCAGAATTGACTAGACTGTGTTCTTGTTTACACAGGTATAAATTAGAGATGTAATAATAGTGTAGTCAATTAACCGATTAACCAATAAGCAAAAGCTTATGATAATGCTATAGAGTAGACTACTAGCATTTCTCTCCCCCATCCCACTGCCAGTAAATTTTTTAGCAGGCTGGCCAGCAGCCTGGCTCACTCTTGATTTGCACCGGGTCTGGGACCTACTCTGCTGCAGCTCTGCATTTAAAGTGTATTAGGAGCTGGGCAGGCAGGCAGCCCAGCTTGGTCCTGGCTCATGCCGGGTCTGGGACCTACCCCGCAATGTGGCTCTACCTTTGAAGTGTATTAGGAGCCACATGGGCAGGCAGCCAAGCTGTTTTGGCTCGTACCAGGTCTAGGAGCTCAGACATCCCCTAGACAGGGGCTACTGCCACCCCATGCTGCTGCCTCTTTATCAGACACAGCAGTACTGGGCAACAGGCAGCTAGTCTTCAAGGAGAGCTTGGCTCCTCACGAGTGAGGCCGGAGCACACTGGCTGTCAGCCCCACCCCAGGGAACTATAGACAGAATTCATGAGGTTACTCGACTATTCAATTAACTAATATTTAATCACCCTAGTATAAATCAGGAGTAATTTAAGAGTTAAACAGGTAGAAAACCAAAGAGGAGAGTTAATCTCTACATCCCTGAAGTTAAAACTTTCCCCTTCACTTTTCAATTAAAATTCTTGTTAACGTTAGCTCATTTTCAGTCCTTTATAGTCTCACAGGAAATAACAAAAATCATGTGATGATTGTATGTTAATGAAATTGCATGCATGTAGAAAAATATATAGGCAGATTGGAGTCTGATCCCATGAAATGAGTGAGATATGAGGGATCTAAGCAGCTTGAAAGAACCCATCCTGAGAAGTACAGAGGGCATCATTCATGTGGTTCCATTCTTTTTGCTCCAGAGTGTGTTTGTGGGGAACTGTTCATTTGTCCTAAAGAACTTCTTGTCAGAGCTGCCACAGAGATTTATTTTCATCTCCTTTTCTGTTAGAGGTAGATGTAACACCATTGAGGAAGAGAGCTGATTCGGGCTACAGTGCCATTGGCATGCAGAGGACATGATTTCATTTTCATCAGACCCAGAAGATAGAGTCTCAGAGCCAACTGATTAAGTGTTGCAGAGAATGCTGGAAAAAGCTTAATCTGAATGAAATAGTGGTGATGTTACTGCATTAGGTTGAGGAGAGAACTTGAGGGCAAGCAGAGCATGGCTTCAGGAGCCATTACAATTTCAGCAGTCATTCACTACTGAGATGGCTCCACCATGATTTGTCCGAGATGTTTGCTATTTGAATGATGTTTTGAGACTTTTTACTGTCTCCTAGAACTTCAAGTGGTATGAGTGGCTCTCTATTCTGGAACTCGCATCTCCAGATGGTTAGGCAGAGCCCAGGTTTATTGGTTTTGATTGAGGGCACAGTATGCATGTTTGGGGCAGGCTAGGGATGTAAAATCTTGGTCAACTGGTTAAACATAATGTTTAACTGGTTAACTGATTAAAGGGGGAACAGGCAGGGAGTGTCCCCTTTCCACCTGCGCTGGAGTGGACCCTGATTGTGGTGTGCTCAGGCCCACCATGGGCAGAGGCTGCTTCAGGTAGGCTGCAGTGCCCCTGCCTGGGACGGGCCCCATGGAGCTGGAGCAGTCCCCTGCTCCTGGCAGGTGAGGAACTGCTCCAGCCCCACCAGTTAACTGGAACTGGTAAACATTACCGGTTAATGTTTCACATCCCTAGGGTAAGGTTGTCTTTTTTGCTTGTTAGACATTTAAATAGTATTTATTTTTCCTGTTTCCCCTTCAACCCAATTAATTACTTTCCTCCTGCAAATTTTGCTCAGACTGAAAGAGAGAACAAATAACTGGCATAGGTTGTTTTTCAGTGGCACCTTTTAACTTGCACTTTTTACTTAAAAGGGTAACATGGGAGACAATTAACATTTCTGACTCTGGTTCTTTATAGATAAAGAGTGTTATCAATTCCTGAATGTAGTCTCTCTGCCTGATCCTGAAATGATTATGGCTGTGTTGACATTAGATCTCTTTTCTTAAAAGTTCAAACTATTGATTCCACAGGAGCAAAAGTAAGTGATGGGGCTAAGTGGCTACCAGCATTTTACTGTCATCTACCCCTGATATGAACAGGAATTACACAGGAGTTAGTGATGGAAAATGTTTAAAATAAATACATCCAGTGTAGAGAATTCCTATGCATGCTGTGCAGACTATACAATGAAAATGCAAGAGGGGACAGGAGTGGCTATTCAGCAATCACCTTAGCTGAGGAAGGAGTGGCAATGGCAGAGTCCAAAGGGAGTACTGTACAATGATCATTGTTATCTATTTGTTGAGCACCAACAGCATGCCTGGCACGGCATACAGAAGACATAATCCCTGTGCCTAGGAGCTTTTAATCTTCACTTTGAATGGTCACTTAGAGTGTGTCCATACGGCAATTAAATACCTGTGGCTAGCCTGTGTTAGCTGATTTGGGGCTGTTTAATTGTGACCTACTGTACACATTTGGGGGAACCTTCCCTCATTACAAGGTCTCTGAGCCTGAATACATACACTGCAATTAAAACAGCCTCATGAGCCAAAGCCCCATGAACCCAAGTCAGCAGGCACAGACCACTCGTTAGTTTTTAACTGCAATACAAACATACCCTTAGAACGCATGTTAATTATTTATGCTAATCAATCTGTTCCATCCTATATTCAGCGATGACACTCTGAGAATCTTTTCCAGACCTGAGGAAGAGCTCTGTATAGCTCGAACGCATGGCTCTTTCACCAACTAAGGATGTTAAATGGCGTTTAATCAGCTAATCGGCTAGTCGATGGAATTTCTATCAAGGGGCAGACACTGCAGAGCCGCAGCCAGGTTAGCTCCCAGCCCCAGGAGCTAACCCTACTGTGGCTCTACCTTTTAAATGTATCAAGAGCCGCCAGGCTCTTAATATATTTAAAAGGCTGAAGAGTAGCTGGGGGCAGAGGAGGGAGGAGGAGTGGGCATGAGCTGGGAATCAGCTGTCCCAGCTCACGCCCAGTCCCCCTCTCCACCAAGCTTTGTGCTTTTTAAATGTATTAAGAGTCACCAGGCTCTTAATACATTTAAAAAGGTGAAGCGCAATGGGGGGGGACTGGGCATGAGCCAGGAACCAACTGATTCCCAGCTAGTCCATGATCCCCCACTACACCTCTGCCTCCTTTTCTCCCCCCATGGAGATGCTGATGCGGGGAAGCTGGCTTTTACACTGGTCCCCCCACCACCCAGCAGCAGATCCTGCTCCCCCTCTTTCCTGCCTCTCTCTGAGCAAGAGCAGGGGGAAGTGACTAGTTGACTCACTAGTCGACTATTCGATAAGTATATGATTATCAGATAGTCAACTAGTTGCTTACATCCCTGTCACCAACAGAACTTGGCCCAACAGAACTTGGCCCAACAGAACAGGGGGTTTTTAAACTTGGGTTGCGGACAAACCAGGGAAAGCGACACTTCCTGCAGTTCCCCTTGGCTGGAAATGGCAAACTGTGACCAATGGGAGCTGTGAGACTTCATAGCTGCGGAGCTTTATAGTAAACCATCGTTATGGGCCTACCAGGGGCTTTCACTGCTGGGTCCGCAACTCACGTTTGAAAATCCCGGTAATAGAAGATATTACCTCACCTACTTTTTCTCTCCAAAAGGATGTGGTTTATTAATGTTTGTGTTAAAATCCTCAGCCACAGCAAAACTGGAAGTGAAATATGGATAGAAAGGAAAATTTAAATGCTGTTCAGTGAATGTAGGAGTCTCAACAGTATTGTTTATCCAATTCACAATGTTGCATCTTTGGAGTAGGAACTTAGTATTTCTCTGTCTGTATTATCCCATTAATATAACTAAAAACAACTAGTAGTCCTGCAGCACCTGAGAGACTAACAAAAATATATAGTATCCTCTAAGTCCGTGGTTCCCAACATGGTGCCCGCGGACGCCATGGCATTTATGTGCACCCGCTTAGTGACAACCTCTAATCGTGTATCGCCGCTTGTGATGGGGCATTGCCACCCCGCACTCGGGGTCCCCCTGCTACCGTGCTGCTCGCGGTGCGAGGGGTCAGGTACCGGCTTTGTGCCGGCTGTTTGTGCACCGGGAGTCTAGCGCACTGCTTTAAAGAGCCGGGGAGCACAAGTGGCAGGAGAGAAAAAGGGCAGACGGTGCAAAATGGTGCCGGAGCTATGCAAAAGGGAGCGGGGCACAGAGCGACGGGGGTGATGTCCCTGGGACTGGGACGGGCAGCAGGGGATTTAAAAATGGCCAGGGGAGGTGCACAGGGGGAAGGAGGGAGGAAGTGAAAAGAAAGAGCTGGGCGGTCAAACGGGAGGAGGGAGAGGTAACATGAAAACTTTTGGAATCTGGTTGACCGAAAAAAGTTTCCTGCCTTAAAAAAATGTAGCATACAAAATAAAATCTTATTTCAGTTCCACTTATCTATGCGAAGTTCTGTTTTCAACAATGATCATCATAAAATCAAAATACAGATCTCGGCTTACAGATGCCCATCTTGACGATTGCTTATGAACGAGAATATCATCCTATTCTCCCAACTATGAAAAATTGGCTGAAGAGATGCAGTGCCAAAAATCACACTGACTTTATTAAAAAACCACACGAATTAATGATATGTGCTCACCAGCACTTAATGGAAAATAGGTATGATTAACTTGTGTTTAACTTTTTTCATATTTGTTTGTTTGTTTATTGAAATCCACATAAAAGTAACAATACAAAGAATATTTTTTAACTAAGTATAACTGTCTATCTATGTTAAAGTAAGAATAATAAGTATTTTTGGACCAGAAGTTCAACAATGTTTTACTTTTTTTAAATAAATAAGATGAAAACTGTTTATGATATTTATTTTGTAAAAACTCCTTAATTTTTCTTGCAGGTAGATAAAAAAGAGCAAATTCATATGGCAAGGTGAAAGAGTAATTGCTGAATAATTTAATTAATACCTTTTACATGTAAAATTACCTTTTTTATCTTATGGATTCATATATGATGTAATATTAAATATGATGTTTTTCATATTATTTAACGAACCAATACAAAATAAACCTTGAAAAAGTGTTGGCGCCCGCCACACTCTTCTGAAAACATGAATGTGCTATTGGCCACAAAAAGGTTGGGGACCACTGATCTAAGGTGCCACAGGACTACCCTATTGTTTTTAAAGTTACAGACTAACACAGCTACCCTCAGACTTATTATGACCCCTCTGCCATATTCCACTTACAGTCAATGAACCATAAAACTCACAAGTAACTGACAAGCACTTGATAACAAATAATTAAAATGATGTTCATATTGCAATTTAACTATCTTTGGAAAAACTAATTTACAACTCGCACTGTGATTTGCCATTATAAGAATGGCAGATACTACAAATGTTGACGTATGGATAAGTTCTGCCTAGGTTTTAATGGTGCTCACGGGCTAATGATTGTGGTGGCATTTCATGAAGACAAATAGTTTGTTCCTAGGTAGTGTTTGTCATTTAACAAGGGATATTTACTTCCACTGAATTCAGTGGAACTTGTGTGTGTGTGTACATGATGGAATAATTTAGCACTATTAACTTAATTATGGGCCTAATCCAGCAAAGATTTATGTACACTTTTGAATTTGAGAAATACATACATCATCTTTACATGGTTGGATCCTATATTTGGTAATTCACCTAAGTTCATCATATGTGCAGTTTGTCAGTTAACCTCTTTCCCCAATGAGCTACCTAAGTATACAGCATTATACTAGATAATCGCTAAAAATAGCTTGCAGAATGAAAAGAAACAGCAATGAATATCCACGTTTCACTGCAGCATAATGTGTAATTCAGATGGTCATGTATATATTTCCTACCAAAAAGCATCCTACATTAATATTAAAACACAATTGAATTGGTTACCTCCTCTGTATCTAAACTAAGTGCATGGAACTATTCTTCTGTAGGTTTCAAGAAGGAAGATTCAGGGCCCTGCTCACACATGTAAGAGGACACATCTCTGCTGATGTTAGTGGAACTATACCCGTTTTAAATGTGGCCTCGAAGTCCTGTGTAAAGTTGGGAAAAGGTACACTAAGCTGCAAGAAAACAAAGAGAGCTTAAGTGCCTCCCAGGTGCCCTCTCTCCTGCCTCCTTGCATGTGTTACCCTGAAGGCCCCAGCACACTTTAGAAAGCACACTTTCGGAGTAAGTAGTTGATGCCTGGTATTATCGTGCCCCCTGCTGGTTTCCAGTTTAACAAGCAGAGCTCAGTTCCTCAAAAGCAACGGGGAAGGCACAACCAAAGTACAGAGGGGCATTTTAAAATAAATCCCAGTGCACCGAAGCTGGGTATTTTTTAAATGGCCATGGCATGTTTTTAGGCAGCAGCCGTTTCCCCTTTCGTTTGGATCCTTAATTAACTGTGCACTTGATCGGGATGGGATTCTAAAGAACCCCATGACAAGATCAGCTGCAGGGGAGAAACGGGGGGGAGACATACAGGGCGGGGGCAGCTCCTATTTCAATTAAAAGTGCAACGAAGCCTGGAGAGCAACCCGCAGGGCTACTGCTATTAACCCAGCCCGTGCCCTGCTCTCAGGACCCGAAGCAGGAGAGGCCAGGGCCGGTTTCCCCAGGCCAGATAAGTTCCTTTGAAACCTCCCTAGTCAGTCTGAGAAGTGGGGGAGAAAGGGAATCGCTAAGTTCCTTACCGCTTCGCAGCTGAGCTGTGCCTAGGCCGACGCGCCCCGGCTGCTTCCCCTTCCCCGCCCCGCCACCTCGGCACG